GATTCCTTTGGCCCAGACAGCTTTGTTGAGCCTGGTGTCAATGCGCACGTCTGGTGTTCCCATCTCCTTCATGGCAAATTTCCGAATCTCCTTGAGTGCTCTAGGGGCACGCTTCTTGAAGCCTACTCCATGGATGCGCTTGTGAATGTTGATGGTGTACTCTCTGGTCACCACTTCGTTGATAGCAGAACGACTCTTCTCGCCACCCTTCTTTGCGGGCGCCATAGCGATAGACTCAAGTTGGAAAGGAAGAGTGCAAAGGATTGTGGGAAAAACTGTCCATTATGTTTTGATGGACATCTGTGTACTTTCTACTTTTTGACTCTCATGAATAGTGCTGCTAATAGTACTTGTTATTAATATCAGGTTGACTGAGGTGTAATTTACATACTCAGGGAACCCTGGTAGTACAGTGATTGAGCATTCAGCTGTTAACCATAAGCTGGGTTGCTCATATCCACCTAACAGTTCTGTGGGAGAAAGCCCTGAAAATTGCTCGTGTAAAGATTGCAGCCGAGAGAACCCTATGGAGTCCTTCTACTTTGTCACATAGTCACTCTGAGTTGAAATCTGACTTGATAGTGCCTAGCAACAGCACAAATTTACAGAGTAAAATTTGCTCTTTTTATAGGGTACAGTTCAGTGGGTTTTAACAAATGAATACAATTAAGGGACAGAGCAATCAATCACACAGAATAAAGTCAAACAAACCAACACCAGCTCATTGTCCCCGAGAAGGACCTCGTGCTTGGTAAAGTAATTGGTCAGTAAAATAGAGGAAGACAGACCTTCCACAAGATGGACTGACAGCAATGGGCTGAAACCTAGTAACAGTTTGTATGGCTGGTGCAGGACCGGGCAGTGTTTCATTCTGTCGTACATAAGGTTGCTATGAATCAGAACCAACTTGATGGCACCTAACAACATTAGCAACAATAATATTCAGGTGATTTGGGCTAGATGGGGAAGATAAACCAAAGCACCAAAGCACCAAACCTGCTGTGTAATCAATGCCAACTCATGGTGACCCATGTGTTACAGAGTAGAAGTGAGTTCTACAATGTTTCCTTTCTGTGACCTTGAAGAATGGAAAGCCATGTCCTTGACCTCAAGGTGGTTACACTTAATGAGGTGACAAGTAAAAGAGTGTGTAATGAAAATGTGCTGTGTATCAGAGACAAACTACAGTTCATGGGCCAAGTCTGGTTGACCATCTGTTTTTATTTTTATAGATGAAATTTTATTGGCACACAGCCATGCCCATTTTGCTTACTTATAGTCTAGAATTAGGAGCTCTGGTACCTTAGTGGTTACGAATCGGGCTGCTAATCTTACTTACGGTCAGCAGTTCAAAACTACCAGCTGTTCCAGAGGAGAAAGATGAGGCTTTCTGCTCCCGTAAAGACTTAACAGCTTCGGAAATCCTATGCAGGGTAGCTGTGAGTTGGAACCAACTCCACGGCAAGGGACCACCATCCCTAGTCTAGGATTATTTTTGCCTACAATGACAGATTGAGTCTTTGTGGCTGAGCCCATCTAGTCTGCAAAGTTGAAAATATTTACTGCCTCTCTCTTTAAGGAAAAAAAGGCTTGCCAACCCCTGACTTGAACATAATTAGAGCAAAGTTAAAGTATGGAGGGGGAGCCTTGGAAGCAGAGAGGGAGTGGAAGCAGTATTTGGGGGGTTGAAATGGCTTGTTGGAGGCAAAACTTAAGTCAGTAAATTAATACATCCAATGTATGCACCTGTGCAACCAACACCAAAGTCAAGAGATAAGACATTTCTGGTCACAGGAGACTCCCAGGGCTGTTTGTGTTAATGGTACCAGTTGCTGTTCAGTGAGTTCTGATTCCTGGTAACCCCAGCTGTGTCAGAGAAGAACTCGGCTCTACAGAGATTTTTTTGTTTTGTTTTGTTTAATGTCTTAATTTTTATTATGGCAAAGTAATCATTATGTACAGTATGAGGTTCTAATAAAACAAGACTTATAAGGCTAAACAGAGTCCTGGTGTGGCGCTGTGGGTTAATGCGCCAGACTGCAAAGCCGTTTGAACTGCAAGGTTGGCCATTCAAGTTCACCAGCTGCTCCTTGGAAATCCTATACAGGGTGGCTATGAGTCGGAGTCAACCCGACGGCACTTAACAAAAACACAAGGCTAAATAGTGATCCTTTGCCCCATCTCGCCTGACACTTGAGTCTCACTCCCCAGAGACAATCATTTTTATATATTATTGTTTCTTCTGCTATTTACCTTCCAATTTCTAAATAGCATGTGTGTTGTATCATATTATATCTTTATGGTACAAATATTCACTTCCTACACAACAAGATAGACTTTAGCTTTCTTATACACATTCATCTTCTCCCATCATCCTCTCATACCTATACCCAGTGATTGTTTATTTGTTTTAGTCTCTATTTCACTTCTTTCAAGTGTCGGATCCTTGGCTATTTACTTACATATGTTTGATGCATTGCCTCAGTATCTTTTCTTACACTCTTTTTATCCTTGTGGAATCATATCTTTCTTAGTCCTCTACTTTAGTCCTGGTGTGGCGCAGCAAGGTCAATGTGCTGGACTGCAAGGTCATTTTGAATCATAAGGTTGTTGGTTCAAATACACCAGCTACTCCTCAGAGACCCTATACAGAGTTGCTATGGGTTGGATCTGACTCAATGGCACTCAACAACAACAACGTTCTTTTACTACCTCATGGTAGATTTCCAATCTACAGGGTTTTAATGGCTGACTTTTCAGAAGATCATCAAGCTTTTCTCCTGAGGTGCTTCTGGGTAGACTCAGGCCTCCAACCTCTCTGTTAGCCATTTGCACCACAAAGAGACACTTGTGTGAATGTCTATAGATAACTAAGGAGCCGGGTGGCGCAGTAGGTTAAGCATTGCGCTACTAACTGAAAGGTTGGTGGTTTGAGCTTGTGGCAGTTGCTCTGTGGGAGGAAGATGGAGGTATCTGCTTCCATAAAGATTTACAGTCTCGGAAATCCTATGGAGTGGTTCTACTCTGCCCTAGAGCGTCGTGACTCCATGGCAGCGGTTGTATACAACTGCCGCTGAGTAGACTCCCACTCAACTTAGGTCCAACTGAATGCAACCTTGCCTAGTCCTCTGTTACCCTCAAAATCACTGGTGTGTTGGACATCATTATTGCAGCTATTGTACTAGTCCAACTCACTGAGGGTCTCCAATGTCTTCGCTGACCCTCTACTTCACCAAACATTATGTCCTTCTCTGGTGATCCCTCCTGATGACAACATGTCCAAAGCAAGGATGTTGAACAGTGTTCTGTTGTGATCCAGAGGTTTTCATTGACTAATTTTTAGGAGTAAACCACCAGATCTTCTTCCTAGTCTAGCTTAGTCTGGAAGCTCTACTGAAATCTGTCCACTGCAGGCGACCCTGCTAGTATTCTAAATAAACACTAGCATAGTGACACACAGGCCACCGCAGTGTAACATGCTGACAGTATATAAATGGCACTGTGCTATAAATTCAACTGTTCCCTCTCAGCTGCTCTGTGTCCTTCCAACTGGTTCATGTTACAGCTACCTGGGGTGTCACAGGTGGCCACTCTCCTGTGTCCCAATAAACTCGCTGAGGTCTGACTTGCCGTATCTGGAGCTGGATGGCCACAGGGGGGCACAGGCGGTCTGTCACCATACCACTATGCCAGCCATTACCTCAAGAGGGCTCCTTTTCCATACTCTTTCCTTCTAATTTACTCCAAGAGTGTGAACATATTCACAAATCCTACCTGGATATTAATGACTCAAATGTCACCATTGTATCTTATTTATTTTTTATTGTGGTTAAGTTACATGTAGCAAAGCAGTCTCCAGCACAGCGTCCACCTTTACAGCCCAAGGACCCTGAGTACATGTTTCATCTTGTACACTATTCTCACTATCCTTTTCTAAAATATTCTCCCATCATTAACATATATAATCAATGCCCACCAGCCCCATACAAAAACTCCTTCCCTCTTCCCTCCCACTCCTGGCAACCAATAATAACTTTTGGCCTGTATAGATCTGCATTGTGATGATGGTATAGCACTGGGCAGAGCTTCATTCTTAAACTTCCTAACAACAACAAACATTTGCTTATTTCAAATAAGTGAGATCATACAGCCGTTGCCATTTTGCAACTGACTTATTTTGCTTAGCATACTGTTTTTAAGGTTTATCCATGTTGTGACATGTTTCAGAACTTCATTTCTTCTTTTTAAAAGTTTTTATTGTGAATTGAGTGATAGTTTACGTGGGAGAACACTGGTTTTACACTCATCCCGTCATATTTTGTTTCATTGCAATGATTATACTCTCCTCTGTGCATCATCATTCAACAATAATTGCTTCTATTCCCTGTTTTTTTTTTTTAATGTACACAAAGACACTTAGGGATATATAATAATTTTAAAAAGCAAAGGGTGCATTCTGCAAGCCTACCTTCTGGCCACCAGCACATAGCCTTTCTCTTTCCATGAGTCTAGAGTCCTCAGCTGCCCTATGTCTCCATGTCATCATCTCTGCCTCCATCTCTGGTATCACTGCTTCTCTGGATAGGGTCCCACATTCTGCTTGTGTGTTTCTTCCATGGTGGTCCTAGGGTTCTCTGTTTCTGCACTGTAAGATTAACTACTCCTCAGTTTTTGTTACAAAACTTCTACCTTTACAGTTGTGACAGTCACAGTTAGTCATAATAACAATTACTCACTATTGAATCATAAGACTCTTATCCCCATCTCCTTTCACCAGACCCTTCTAGAGAAGATGAAAACTATTCAGTGGGGATTACTTCATTTCTTTTTATGGCTCAGGCAGTGTTTCACTCTGCTGTGCATAAGGTCGCTATGAGTCGATACTGACTCGATGGCACTTAACAACAACAACAATATTCCATTGTATGTATATACCACATTTTGTTTGTACATTTCAGTTATTTTATCTTCTGACTGACTATTGTAAAAAGTGCTGCAATGCATACGGGTTTACAGTTTCCTGTTTGTGGTCCTGTCTCCACGTCTGCTCATAGGCCCTTCTGAGATTGGGATTGCTGGGTCCCATGGTAATCTCAGGGGAGCGCGGTGGCTCCATAGGATATACAGTGGACTGTGAACCACAAAGTCAGTGGTTCAAACCTACCAGCTACTCTGTGGGAGAAAGATGAAGCTTTCTGCTCCCACAAAAAGATTTAAAGCCTCAG